CATTTCCCCTCGTCCTGCTGTTAGAAAGGCTGCAGGCATCTGCAAACAGGGGCTGGCTGCTGCTTGAGGAGAGCTGGAAAAGGGGCAAAGGGTCTTTTTGACCCAGCCCAGACAGGCAGCAGGGCAGGGAGCAGCAATTCCCGGCACACGCAGCGCCCCGAGCTGTGCCTGCTTCTCACAGATCTCCCTTTCTACCAAACAGAAGAACTCTTGATTTTATCAGAACCTCCGGCATCGAAGCCGAGGCCAAACAGCGCCCTCACATCCCCACCAGCATCTGCAGGTCACCGCTCCCAGACCCAACAGCCACAGCCCCAAAGCCCACCTCAGCAATTGCAGCCTCCTGCCCAGGGGCCACAGAGCACCGAAGGCAAACCGAGACGTGCGCAGCCCCACGGAATCGGGTCCTGCAGCCCCCGAGCAGCACCCAGCAGCCCTTCCTCTCGCCAGACCGGCTGGCAACAAGCTCCCAGCCCTGCAGCAGAGCGGCTCCTCAAGACTGGAAGCCAGGGCTCGGCCAGATCCTGCTTATGTGCAGGACGGGGGGACACTGCGTGCTTCCAGGTGACCTCGTGCACAGCCCAGGGGATGAGGAGCAGAGTGGGGATGCAGCACAGCAAATTGAAAGCTGTGCCCAGCGCTCTGCTTTGGAGGATCCTGCGTTTCCCCGGGGCTCTGCTCGCAGCCCTGCCGTCCTCCCAGGAAACACAAAGCAGGAGCTGAGTCAGAGAGCTGGAACACAAGAGCGGTTTGGCAAGAAGTCACGGCGAGGCGCACGCAGGCACAGGGGCTGCCACACGTACGCAGCTTGTCGGCACACGGAGGGCAGGAGACCCCCGAATGCCAACACGGGGAGACGGAGCCCTCGCCGTGCCCTGTCCTCCTGCAGCACGGCGGGGAGAGCAAAGAGAAAGGCCGAGAGCCAGCCACGAGCTGGATTTTCCCCTAAACACCACTACAGCGTCACACGGCGTCTGTGTGCGACCTGTCTGAACTTCCCAGCAGCCTTGTTGGCAGAGGGGCAGGGGAAGAAAAAAAATACCAGCGGAGGAGGCCTGGAATTGAGGCTGGGCCCCGGTGGTGAAGGGGGAGGGGGAGGCAGGATCCGCCACCGAAGCCACCTAGCCCTTCCACCGAAGTCCCGAGCGCTGGCCGGCCTTACCACGTACTCCATCGCCGGCGGAGGGCAGGGAACAAACATTCAGCCCCTCTGGTCTGGCAGCCCGACCTGCGGTTCAGGGACAAACAGCGAGTTAGCCAGCCCTGCTGCAGGCAGAGCTGCTTCTCACTGAGCGCAGGCAGACGGGGGGCAGAGAGAGACCCGGGGAAACCTCCTCCTCGACGGCCCTGTCATAGGAAGGATGGTGCCTGGATGCTCTGGGAGCACGGGGACAAAACGGGGGGACGAGGTTGGCTCTGCTCAGATCATGCCTGCAGGCAAATGGTGTCGGCAGCCACCTGTTGGCAGTGCCCCCGAAGCAAAAGGACCTCGTTTACGGTCACTCTGTGACCTGAAATAAACGCTCTGCCCTGTAGCTGTCAGGACCCAAAAATAGAGGGCACAAAAGGAGAGGCAGAAGAAGTGCTGAGACATGGAGGAGCGCCCCGCTCCTGCCCACACCGCCCCCCAGGCTGGCACCTACTGCAAAAGGACGCACAAAGTCCCCAGGGAGGAGCCAGGATGTGGCCACAGGAGCGTGTGAAACGGATCGTGGTGTTAGGAAGGAACGGTGGAAAGGGGCCACGGAAGGGCAGACGTGAGCAGAGCCAGGAGGGGCAGGAAGCTCTGGGAGAAGGGCAGCGGTGAAAGGAAAACACAGCGAGCAAAGCAGGAGCACAATGAGCGCCCCTGCCCTCCCCAGCCAGCCCTGCGCCGCTCCCACCCTCACCACGGAGCCGTTTGGGGCCGGGCCAGCCAAGCAGAACAGGACAACAAACACGATTTACTTCCTTGCAGCAATCATACATCCTTATCTGGGGCCTGCAAAGCCAGCGCCGGAGCCCAGGCGGGCGCTAATGGGATTAGCCCGGGGGGCAGTGAGATAAGAGGGGCCGTTTGGCCGCCGCAGCCCCGTCCTGGGCAGGGCCAGGCAGGCAGCAATTGCAGATCACTCACTGCAGAGGAAGCGCAGAAATGACGAGGCCCTTTGGACTCTGGGGCCGAGGTTAGAGGCAGGGAAAGGAGAACAGCACTGTGCCAAAAGCCAGCAGGAGGAGAAAGGGCTGGGTTTGAACGGCGACGGTGTTCGGCCATAAAACAGCCAGGCTGGAGAGGCACAGGGCAGCACAGGGCCACAACCTGACCTCAGCACGGCCTCCTCAGCACCCCTGGCGCCCAAGGGTGCTGCTTAGGGCTCTCCCCATCCTCCAGAAGCCCGTGGCGTGGTTGCAGAGCCGCTCGTTCCTCGATCTTTGTTGTGGCAGTGCCTCAGCTGAACCGTACAGAGCTCCAGAGCGGGCAAAGCACTGAGAAATCTGCCCTTTGCACAGCTTTAATCCTACAGGAAGGAGCGGGGCCACGTTTCCTCAGCCCGTGAGGGACACCCAGTGACCTGGAGATCTGGGAACGGCCCAAGCCGGACGGACACACGGACACAGCAATGCTGCTGTGTGAGGACAGTGGTCTGGAATGGGGCACTTCCACCTCAGCACGCTCTGTCCCGGTTACCTGTCCCTTCAAGGGAGGTTGCACACGAGCACGGCCGGTGCTCTGCTCCAATCGGGGTCGGTCCGTCCCCATTCTGAGCTCCCCGGTTGCTGCCAGCCCCGGGAACCGGCAACGGTGACACACCGACAGACGGACCTCACACACACCCCCACCGTGGCACCGGGAGCTCCGGGACCTCCGAGCAGCACGGAGGCGATCAGCGATTCCCCCACAACCACCGGCAGCGCCCGGCCCCGGTAACACTGGGAACGGGCAGCCCGACGCCACCACTTCCCCGCTCGGTGACTCCCATCACCCCAGCGTGCGTGGGGACGAGCGGGTCGGGTTCAGCCCAGCAGCCCCGGAAGCTCCGCAGCAGCTCAAAGCCCGGCCCGCCCCGCCGAGCCCGGGGCCTACGGAACCACCGGCAGCCCCTCAAGGCCCGGGCCGCTCCCGCAGGCCGTGCAGGCCGCACCGCAGCACCGCACGAGGCCCAACCCGTCCTAAGACGACCCGCACGCTCACCGGGGCACCATGGGTCTACGCGCCGGTCTCCTCCGGTCCCGGCGGCCGCAGCGCCCCGCACCGAGCGCCCTCCCCCCGCCACGCCGCCACTCACTTCCGGCCCACGCCCCTCCACCGCGGCCTCACCGCGCCCCCGTCACGTGACGCGCGAACCGGCGGGCCACCGGAAGGCGGCGCCCGAGCCTGAGCGGAAGGGGCGTATCCGCTCGACCGTCGTCCAATCAGCTTCCGAATCGCTCGTCCCGCCTTTGCGAAGCGGACCAATGAGCGCGCGGGGCGGCGGTGTTTGAAAGCACCGTTGGGGGGAGGGGGGCGGGGGGGAAAAACCAACGGCCGCCGGGAGCTGAGGAGAGGGGCGCGGCGGGGGCTGCCGGGAAAGGGGCGGACCGCGGGCGGCATGGCGCACAAGCAGATCTACTACTCCGACAAGTATGACGACGAAGAGTTCGAGTACCGGTGAGGAGAAGCGGGGGAGGAGCGGTAACCGTTGTCTGATGGGGGGGGGAGGATAACGGCTGTTTGTTGGGGAGGGGGGTCCCCGGTAATGGCGTCCTTCCGGCAACAGGAAACGGAGGGGGGGTTTGTTAGTATGGAAGGGTCGGCTGGGATGGGGGAATGGGGGGGACGGGCTGTACCGGGTTTGGGCCTGAAGGGGATGGGGGGGGGCACCAGGTTTGGGCCTGAGGGGAGGAGGGGGGGGAGTAGTGGGAGGCAGTAAGGGGGGGAGAGGCATTGAGTTTGGATCTGGGGGGGGTGGGGAGTACCGGGTCCGGGCCTAAGAGGGGAGTGGGGTGGAAGTGGGGGGAGGCAAAGGGTCTGGGCCGGAGGGGGAAAGGGGAGGAACAACGATCTGGGAATGGGAGGGGGATCTGAGCCTAAGAGGGTGGGCGGGGGGAGGGGGGTGCACCGGGAGAGTGCCCCTAGCTGAGCAGCCCCCGGCCGCAGGCATGTGATGCTGCCCAAAGACATCGCCAAGCTGGTGCCCAAAACCCACCTGATGTCCGAATCGGAGTGGCGGAACCTGGGCGTGCAGCAGAGCCAGGGCTGGGTGCACTACATGATCCACGAGCCAGGTGAGTCCCGTATGGCTGCCCTACGGGATGCGAGCTCCCATCCCACAGCCCAACCTGACGTTGTGCTACGTCCCCACAGAGCCACACATCCTCCTCTTCCGACGGCCGCTGCCCAAGAAGCCAGAGAAGTGAGCGTTCCCTGGGCTGGCCGCAGCCTTCATCTGCCTGGGCTACAAAGCACCTTCATCATCACCATCATCCTCCTTCTTCTCCTCCTCTCTCGCACCCTCTGTTCCTGGGAGCTTTCCCGGTTGAGGCAGAGCCACTGGGTCCCTAAGATGCTCATGAACTCAGTGCCATCTGGGCACCTGCAGCGGCTCAGCCCCGGGCACCGCGCTGTGGGGACGGGGTTCTCAAAAGCTTCAATAAAAGGATATTTGGGAACTGCTGTGCGCTGCTGTTCTGCCTTTGGGGGGAGAGGGAGGGAGGTGGGAGGCAGGAAGAGCTCCCGGTGCTCAGGAACAGCCCTCCCTCCCCCGGGTGGTTCTGGTGTAGCTGTGACCGGAGAGGGTGTTGGAAGGGCTCATAGGGCGGGAGGGCTCCGGGATAACGGGGCGGGGAAGGCGGGAGGGGGGAGGGGAAGCGCACGTGTGCCGGGCGATTCCATGGCGCTATGGGGGAAGGGGGAGCGGTAGGACCGCCCCCCGCAGTGGCTCTGTCCGCTCTCAACCAATCAGAGCTCGCAGAGCCTCGTGATGTACGTTCCTCCCGACCAATAGGAGCGCGGGGAGGTGGCGGCGTGGCGGAACCGGTTCGGTTCGGCGGGGTTCATGCGGGCGGCGCTGCGGGTTGTGGGGGCTCTGCTCGGTACCGCGTGGCGGAACGCGGCCTGCAGAGCCATGGCCGGGCACAGCTCCGCCTCCACCGCCGGGATCATCATTATCGGGGATGAGATCCTCAAGGTGAGAGCGGGGCCTGCGGCTGGGGGCTGGGCTGAGCCTGGAGTCGGGCCGGGCCAGAGGGCTGCGCTCAGGGACTGCGGCCGGGGGTTTGGGTCTGGGATTTGGCCTGGGGTTTGGGTCTGGGGTCGGGCCGGATGTTTGGGCCTGGGTTTCTCGCCTGGGGGTCTGGCCTGGGAGTCAGGATTGGGCTTCAGGCCTGGGGTTCCGGTGTGGGGTCAGGCCTGCAGTCTGGCCTGGGGCTTGGATCTGTGGCTCTGTCCTGGACTCTGTCCTGCTGTTTGTCCTGGAATTCAGGCCTGAGGTCGGCCCTGGGGGTCTGACCTGGAGCTTGGGCCCGGGCTCGTGCCTCAGTCAGGCCTGGTCTCACCGCAGCTGCCCTTCCCCTCAGGGCCACACTCAGGACACGAACTCCTTCTTCATGTGCCGGCGGCTGCGTGCGCTGGGTGTGCGCGTGGCCCGCGTCTCCGTGGTGCCCGACGAGGTGGACGCCATCGCTGCTGAAGTGGCCGCCTTCGCCTCCCGCTTCACCTTCGTGCTGACCTCGGGGGGCATCGGCCCCACGCACGACGACGTCACCTTCGAGGCCGTGGCCAAAGCTTTTGGGGAGAAAGTGGCCCCGCACCCGGAGCTGGTGGCCCTGGTGCGTAAGTTCTTTGGCAAGACAGACATGCAGTGCCCTGAGATGAAGCTGGCTCGCATCCCTGAGTCCTCACGCCTCAACTATGGCACGGACCGACTCACAGGCAGTGCCTTCAAGTATCCTCTGGTTAGTGTCCGTAACGTCTACATCTTCCCGGGCATCCCAGCACTGATGGAACGTGCCCTGGATGGCCTCAGCCATCTTTTCCGCAGTGAGCAGACCTGCTTCCACTCCCGTGCCATCTACGTGGCAGCTGATGAGGTGCAGATTGCTCCCGTGCTGGATCAGGCCAACGCCAGCTTTCAGGGCCGCGTGAGTTTGGGTTCCTACCCGGACTGGGCCAACAATTATTACCGTGTGAAGCTGACGCTGGACTCGGAGTCGGAGCAGCACCTGGAGGAGGCACACGGCTTCCTGATGGAGAAGCTGCCTCCTGGCGTGGTGGTGCCGTTGGTGACTGACTGCGTCTCGAGGGCTTCCACTGAGGTCTATGCCCTGGCTGAGTCAGGTACAGCAGCTGCAGCTGGGGTCCTTGTGCTGCTCCTGCAGACGTGGAGGGGCCGAGGCAGTGGCAAGAGCAGCCCGGGTGTGGAATTTGCATCGAGTTCTCTTTGGGGTTGGCGCTCGTCCCCTTGCTGGGTAGGGGGATGGTTGTGCCTTAGGGACACGCGAGCTCTTGGCTTCAGGACGCGGTGCCAGCAGCAGCTCTGGGCTGTGCCTGGAGAGGAGATGAGGCACTGCAGGAAGGAGCTGGGCCTTGGGGCTGAGCCGTGGCAGCGCGGCCTTGGGCAGCGCCAGCAGGCACCGACTGTCCCCTCCCAGCAGGCTTGGCTCTGGGACAGAAGGTGGCAGCAGCACTGAGGACTATTGAGGAGGCTTTGGAGCGGTACAGCCTAGCGCAGCTCTGCGTGGGTTTCAACGGGGGCAAGGACTGCACAGCCCTGCTGCACCTGGTCCACGCTGCCCTGGAGAGGTACTGCGTGGTGCTGGGGTTCCTCAGGGCTGCTCGGGGCTCTCTGCCCTGCTCTGCCTGCTTTGCCTCGCGTCTCTGATGGCTGCTGTGGTGGCTCTCTCCCCAGGCGGTACCCGGAGAGGCAGGAGAAGCTGAAGGTGCTCTACATCCGCATCGTGTCTCCCTTCCCTGAAATGGAGCAGTTCATCCAGGCCACCGTGCGGAGGTACGGGGGGCGCTGAGGGCCAGCTGGGCGCAAGCGGCACGGCCCGCCCCGATGCCAGCTGCCTGTCCTGCCCTCCAGGTACAAGATCCAGCTGTGCACGGTGGAGGGCTCCATCCGGGACGCCCTGCTCACCCTGAAGGAGCAGCAGCCGCAGCTGGAGGCCGTCCTGATGGGCACGCGGCGCACCGACCCCTACTCGTGCACCCTGACCCCCATGTGCATGACGGACCCCGACTGGCCCCAGTACATGAGGGTGAACCCACTGCTGGTATGCTGCTGCCATCTGGGATGGGGACGGGGCTGTTCCTGCTTGTCTGGGAGTGAGTTTGGAGTGAATCCTCGTCCTCGGGGGCTTCTCTGCCCAGTTCTCCTCTCCCTAGGGCCTTGTTGCCCAGCTGTGGCCCTGCAGTGGGGACACCCACTGCTGCTGCCGGTGGTTGGGGCTCATTCCTGCCCAGCCGTGGCCTTTGCCGTGTTCAGGGAGGGATGGATGCGCTCTGGGGCTCTGGGCAGAGGGCAGTGGATGCTGGCTGGGCTCCACACGTGCCGAGCTGGAGACGAGTGCCTTCCCTGAGACGAGGGGCAGCCTCTGCATCCACCTCTGCAGCGATCCCTGCCCAATTCTGCCCGCAGGACTGGACATACAGGGACATCTGGGAGTTCCTGCGCAAGCTCTTTGTCCCCTACTGCATCCTCTACGACAAGGGGTGAGTGTGGGGAGCAGGCAGAGGAGGGGCAGAGCACGGGGCGATGCCCTCCAGCCCTCCCACAGCCGCGCTGTCCCCTCACAGCTACACCTCCCTGGGGAGCATGGCCAACACAATGAAGAACCCAGCGCTGCTCTACACCGACGCCAGCGGCCGAGAGAGCTACAGACCCGCCTACGAGCTGGAAAACGAGGAGGACGAGCGCACGTCGCGCCGGTGAGAGCTCGGGGAGCCGCGCTGAGACCGATGGCGTCCACAGGTGTCATCCCCGCTGCTGGGGACGGCGCTAAATAAAGCCGCTGCGCTCAGCGTCTCGCCCGAGCTTGGCTGCGCCGCTCCCTTGGTGCTGTGCGGGGCTCCGGCAGGAGGAACGAGAGCGGCCGCGTCCGAACAAAAGCGACCCCAGGCGGTGCCTCCCCCCCTCCCCCCGTTCCCCACGTGCGCGTCATTGTGGCGGCTTTTGAAGCGCAGAGAATGGAGCAATTTCCAGCGCTCGCCCGGGGCTCCGCGTGGCCGCGCCGATCCCTCCCCGCTCAGATCCCGTTGCCATGCGTCTCCTACGAACCGCGACAGCCCGGCCACCGGGCACCGTGAAGCGGATGGCGCAGGCCGTGGAGCTGCCGGCACCCGGCGACGCGTCCCTGGGGCTGCGGCTCGGCCGCTGGGTGCTGCGGGTGCTGCGGGAGTGCGTTTACCTCCTGCTGTGCAGCTGGTGCATCCGGGAGCTGCTGGAGTAGGGCACGGCTCCTTCCCCACGGTGGGACTGCCGGGACGCTGGTGAGTGGCGGGGATCCGGTCACGGTGGTCCCGGGTGGCGGTGGGGGGTGCGGGGTTCCGGTGTTCAAGAAGTCGATAGGGTGAGGGGGAGAGATTTGGATGCGGTGGTGCTGGAAGGGGGAAGGGTGCAGCTGCGATGCTGTGGGGGTGTGTGGGAGCCGGTCTGTGGGGGGTGGGGGGGTGATGTGGGGGTCCCAGCGGTGGTGCGTAGTGAAGGAGGGGCCCGTGGCTGTGGTGCCCCTGGGGCTGCTCACCCTTCCTGTGCTTCTCTTCCCTCCCCAGGACTCTGTTGCCCCTCGATGGCTCTGCGCTGCCCGGTTTGGACCCGATGGACCCCCAGCACCAGGACCCGGCCCACCCTGAGCCCCCCCGGCACCACGACCCCAATAAATCTGAGCAGTGTGTGAGCGGCTGCGTGTGTCGAGGACTGAGCGTCCCCCCACCCTGCCCACGTGCACCCCCAGAACTTCGACCTGCTGCGTCTCTGCCCTGCCGTGCCCAGACCCACCCTCCATCCCCCCCCCCCGGGGGTCCCCGGCCCCATTGTTGACCGCGGAGCCGCGGCCCTGCTTCCCCCTCCCCTGGGTTATCTCTGCTGTGACTCAGTCCCTTGTTTAGAGACTTCCAAGCCGTTTCCTGCCCCAACCCCACGCGCCCGCCCGGCACCACCGCCGCCGGGAAGCGGCCAGAGCAAAACATACCCCCAGAATCCGGTTTGCAGCCCAACTCACGGAACAACGGGGCACCGCGACCCTCGGGGTCGATGGCGGGGGTCTCCGTGTAACCAAAGCGCTCCGTGCCGGCCCCGCTGTGGGGCTGCGGGCTCCATCCCTGCAGGGAAGCCCCGTCCGTGGCGCACGCCTGGCGCCGGCGCGGCCGCCCTTATCTCGCCGGGAAGTCGGGAGCAGGAAGCGCGGCCCCGCTCGGGATAAGGGTCCCGTTTACATGATGGCTTTGTTATGGCACGAGTTCCCACCCTCACGTTGTGCCCGCGGGGGGGGGGGAGGTTGGTTGCTGAGATGGCTTGGGGGGCAGCTGGGAGCCCTGATTTGGAGGGTTCGGGTCACCCCTGCAGCCCGCACAGCGTTAGGAGTGGGGGCTTTGTGGGACATCCCGCCGCCCCCCTTTCCCGTGGGGTTGGGTTACGCGTCGTTACGCCGCGCTGCTCGCTGCCCCCTCGCTGCCCCCCAGCACGGGGTCACCGTGCCAACATCTGCAACGCTGTGGGCATCTCCTGCCCCACAGCCCACGCAGCCGCCCCGCTGTCGCCGCGTCCTGACCCCATCCGCGCCACAACCCGAGGTCCGGACACACGAATCAATGAATTCCCTAAACGGGGAGGTCCGGGGGAGGGGAGAATCCCGGCACAGGAAAAAGCTGTGAACTGGGCGAGCCGCGGGCAGAGCGGTCCGGGCCGCCCCACAGCGCGGCCCTACGCGCGACCCCATCTCCTGGCACACAGCTCCGCCGCCCACCGTGAGTCTGACCCCATCCCCGGGACCCCCTCGCAGGGGTCGTGGCGCGGGGATGCGTGGCACGGGGATATGTGGCACGGGGACGGGGACGCTGCTCTGCACAGGGCTTCTATTGGGGGGCAGAACGCGACTTAGGGGGATGGCGGCGGTGGGCGCGCAGCGTGCGACGGATGGGGCGGCTCCACGGGGATGCGGCATCGCCCCGGTGGCGGCAGGGGGGACACGGTGCGATGCGTCTCAGCGCATCGAGTGACACCCGCGTCCCCATCCCCAGCTCTGCCCTTCTGCTCCATGTTCCGTTCTCGCCGTGCCGCGCTGCTGAGGCGGCTGTGGCGGCAGCGCTGCCCGACCCCCGGCCCCGAGGAGGGTCCCGGTGCCCTGAAACCCGCGGCGCACGCCCTGTTCAAGAAGCTGAAGGACGAGGAGCTGGAGCTGCTGCTGCAGGCTGTGGAGAGCCGCGGTGCCTGGGAGTCCGGCTGCGTCTGGGTGCCGCGGGGGGCCAAGCAGGCGCTGCCCCCCCAGGTGCTGCTGTGCCGCCTGTTCCGCTGGCCCGACCTGCGGCAGCCCCATGAGCTCAAGCATCTCTGCTACTGCCAGAGCGCGGGGGGCCGGGGGGGCTGCGGGGATGCGGCCGCGCTCTGCTGCAACCCCCATCACTTCAGCCGTCTGGCTGCGCCCGGTGAGTGCCCCCCCCCTCCCCGGCCCTCCTTGCCATCTGGGGGGTCCCCAGTGGCCGATCCTCAGAGTCCCTGCAGCTCCTGGGGTCCCTCCAGCCCCTGGTCCTTGTGGTCCCTCCAATTCCTGGTCCCTGGGGTCCCTGTAACCCCTTGGGGTCCCCATAGCCCCTCGTCCTCGTGTTCCCTTCAACCCCTTCAACCCCTGGTCCCAGTGGTCCCCCTCGAGCCCCTGATTTCTGGGGTCTCTGTAACCCCTTGGGGTCCCTCCAGCCCCTGGTCCTTGTGGTCCCTCCAACTCCTGGTCCCTGGGATCCCTGCAGCCCCTGGGGTCCCTTCAACTCCTGATCCTTGCGACCCCTCCAGCCCCTGGTCCCTGGGGTCCCTTTGGCGTTCGGTCCCCGGTGGGAATGGGATCAGGGTATGGGGTGACATTTAGAAAACTGGGACATGTGCTCAACACCTCACTGCTTCCCATCCCCACTCCAGAGACCCCTCCACCCCCCTACTCGAAGTCCATCAGCCCCTCCTGGCCAGCTGAGCCCAAGTCCCCCCAGCTCCTGGACTTCAGCTGCAACCACGCGGAGCGGCGCGGTAAGGGCCGAAAACGCGGTACCCAAAAAGAAAACCAGGAGCAGAACTGGGAGCCGACGTGGGATGAGGGCTTCTACTGGGAGGATCCACCCCCCCCAAACACCCCCCCCTTTACCCCAGCACTCAGCTCTCCTGTTATTTTTGGCTGCTCCGGACTCCCCGCCGGAGGAAGCGCTGCCCACGGGGCCGCACACAATGTGCCTTGACGCACGCGGCGCGGCTCCAGCCTGGCTGCAAGCCACAAAGCCTCCGGGCTCCACCTTCTCATCCACCAGGGACCCCCCCCCTCTACCCCCCACCCAACTTTGGCACACAATGTGGCCCCCAGGGGGCTGCCCTGGGCCTACGTGCCGACGCTCAGCGGCTCACTGATTCCTGCTATCGCCGTATCCTGGCTGCAAGGCCATGGGGCGCTCCGTGTGTGACCCACGGGCACCAATCCCCCGTGTGCCGTCATCCCAGTGCGTCCCTTGGGACCACCGTACGCAGAGGGTTGGGGGTAGGCACGTGTAGCCACGCAGCACCGTGCTGATCTGCCATTCAGAGGGACTGAAAGGTGGGCCTGGGGGAGCCTGATGAGGTTCAACACAGCAAAGTGCGAGGTTTGGCACTCGGGCCGCAGGAATGCCAGGCATTGATGCAGACTGGAAGGAGCAGCCGCTGAGAGCAGCCCTGCACAGAAGGAGCCGGGGGTCCCAAGGGGTGAAAAGCTGAACAGCAGGGTGTGATTGCAGCTGGGAAAGCAAACGGGATCCTGGGCGCCAGCAGCAGAGGGGGGGCAGCAGGGACAGGGAGGCGATCGTCCCTCTGTGCTCTGCTCTCTGAGGCCCCGTCTGCAGCACCGCGTCCAGGGCTGGGGGTTCCCAGACAAGACAGGGAGCTGTGGGAGAGGAGCCAGAGGAGCCGCAGGGCTGAGCAGGGGCTGCAGCAGCTCCCTGCAAAGCCAGGCTGAGGGAGCTGGGCTCGTTCAGCACGGAGAAGAGGAGCTGGGGCTGAGCTGAGTGCAGCCTGCAGCGCCTGCAGGGAGCCTGCAGCCAGGAGGGGAGGCAGCTCTTGGGCAGGGGAGATGAGAGCAGGGAACGGCTGGAAGCGGAGGGAGGGCAGCTGGAGGCTGGGGGTCAGGGAAGTTGTGTGCTGGGAGAGCGGTGAGGGGCTGAACAGCTGCCCAGAGAGGCTGCGATGCCCCGTCCATCGCTGGAGGGGTTGGAGGCCAGGCTGGATGGGGCCCTGGGCAGCCTGGGCTGCTGTGAAACTGGGCAGGTCGGTGGCTTTGCGGGCGCTGTGGGGTCGCAGCTTTGGGACCCTTGAGGTCCCTTCAATCCAGGCCATGCTGTGACTCTGTGATTCTGTCACCTCTCCGCTCTCCCAACAGACACCAGCATCTCTCGGAGCGCGGCACGGGACGGCTGCTGGTGCAAACTGGCGTACTGGGAGCACCGGACACGCGTGGGTCGCCTCTACGCCGTGCACGAAGCGTCGGTGAACGTCTTCAGCGAGCTGCCGCGGGGCAGCGGGTTCTGCCTGGGCCAACTGCCCGCCGTGCACCGCAGCCGCGCCGTGCGCCGCGCCAGGGGGAAGATTGGGAGGGGGCTGCTGCTGAGCCGGGAGCTGAGCGCCGTCTGGGCGTACAACCGAAGCGAGCATCCCATCTTTGTCAGCTCGCCCACCTTGGGCCCGCCTGGAGCCCACGGGCTCGCAGTGCTGAAAGTGCTGCCAGGGTATTCGGTGAAGGTGTTCGACTACGAGAGGGC